CACACACACACACACACACACACACACACACACACACACACACACACCACACATACCTTTCTACTCCAAAACATTTGCCTTCCTAAATTATAGTGCCCTCACACTGTTATTGCAACATGGCATAGTGCAAAGTTGGTTTTTGGGGTCAGAGAGCCCAGGTTCAAGTCCTGAATCAGTCAACTATTTGGACAAGTTAATTGCCATCTCAAGGCTTTGCCTTCCTCATCTTTAAAATGTGGATGTTAGATTAGATCGTTTTCCAGGTCCCTTCTAGCTACAAATCTACCATCTTACTCTTATCCCTTTTCATCCTTGTTTGCATAACAGCTTGGACACATAAAGGAACTTGCTAAACCAATAACCTCCTTGTACCATTTTGCTACCTTGCCATAAAGAGAAAGTTAATCTGAGGGATATGGTTCATTTAAACAAATACCTTAGGTTAATATAGCACTTAGTGCCTTGTTTTCTTAAAGGAGTTAGCATAGTTTTCTTAAGTCTAAATTTCACATAAAGTAAGATTGTATTAGATTATGCTTTCTTTTTAAAAGTAAAAGCCATTACATCCTTGTCTTTTTATTAAAAAGAGAATCTCAAAACTTCATAGAGGTTGCTCAATCTGTATTCATAGTGTGGTAGTAAAAAGTGACCATCCATATGGAAAAAGATTCATCATTCTGTAGCCAGAATTCATAGCTCAGGAAATCCATCTGTCTGTCTCTTGCCATTAACTTCCTTCCCTTGAGAAATCGTGGATTACTGGAATGATATCCAGTGGAAGTGATCAAGCATGATCTTGGTAACAAACTAAGAAATGATTCTTATGTGAATTAGAATCACCAAATAGGGCACTATTTCTAGATCACATCTTTCCATTACTTTCCAGAAGTATGACAACCTCACCCACCAATCATCTCCAAGCCATCTACTTCTACGATGGGAGTGAGTTTTGCCATTTTAGAAATTAAATGGTTGTCTTTTGGTTTGGTCTGGTGAAGATCACACTCTAAATCGAATTCTTCCTGGCAGAATGACAGCTGGAGATTTATGTCTTTCAGCTATATTCCTCTTACATTCTTGACAGAAGTGACCTCTCAAGGCAAGATGTTTTTTATGGATTTTGCTCTGTTTATATTACTGCCATGAGGGCTGCGGTGAAGTACAGTACATTAAAGCCAATAGATCACTGGCTGTCAATGGTATCTTCCCTTGGTACTTCTTTTTCCTTGCTCATGTGAAAAAAAAATCCATCCCAAAAAGTCTGTAGATGATGAGCAGAAAGGTAAATGGTCATTTCCAACTCTCTTAACATTGTGCTGCATGTAAGAAGTCCATGAGGACATTTCAGAAACCAAATAGGAAAGAGAAGAATACAGGGAGAACTGAAATGATTAACACCTGTTTCCAAGTCTTCACAGAGGTGAGAGAATCTGACCAACAGAGAACAAAACCACAAGGGCATCTGCAATGTTAGAACATTCTGTTCTGATTTCAAAACTTATGTGGAATGTCTGTATTTACCTATGTCTTTTCCTACAGGGCTCACCACAGAGTTTGGAAGATGGGGAAGTCATGTGTAGTGGACAGCCAGAACTGCTGACATCACAAAAAGCTAAACACACATCCAGGTACTTCTAATCAGCAGTGTGTTTTTCATAAACACGTCCGTACAGTTCTTTCTCAGAACCTGAAATGCTCTTTTAGAAACATCACCATGTTTTCATTAATGTTTTTTTTTCTTCATACTAACACTGTAAACCTTGCCTCTGGAGACCATTGTGGTAACTTGGACTCTTATTTTCTGGAAACTATGTGTTGCTTCTATAAGTCTTGCAAAATCTTGGCCACAGTATGCAAAACAAACATATTCTCTGAGTTGGTCAACCACCCTCATCATTCCCAGCCCTGCCTTTTGTTGGTATTGATTTAGATTCCAAACTCCAAAACTTCTGAATACCTTTTTCTTATTTCTATACATGAGGGTGGGTGGCAAATAATTTCATTTTTGATAGACTTGAGCTATTATTGTTCTTCATTTTACAAGTTGCTGCTCTTCTTATGGATTATTATTTACGTGTATGAGCCTGAATGAGGAAAATGAGTGTGAATGACCAACCATCTTTTTTTAAAACACTATTTAAGTTTGGAGATCAGTGACAATAATCTCAGAATACATCTACTCCAACCCATACATGAAGAAGAATCACCTTTAGATCAATCCCAACAAGGGCGTGATCCCCATCCAGCCTCTATTTGAAGATCTCCAATGAGGAAAAATCAGCTGTAACCTGAGGAATCTTTGGATAGTTCTGATTGTTAAATGCTTGTTAAATGCTTAAGTCCATAAATTTATAAGAATAAGTCCGTCTTTGTATGAAGCCAAACTCCTTCACAGCAGCTTCCTTCCATTGCTCATAGTTCATTCCCCTGAAGCCAATCCTGTCTTCTCTAGCTTTATTTACCTAGCACAGTGTATTGTAGTTCCACAGCTTTGCACAACTCAATTCCTGATGTTGTGTTTTGAGCGTAGAAAGCCTCCCTTTTGGAAAGATTAATGGGATTGGTTGTAAATGTGAGTCTCTTACCTTAACCTATTATTCTTTCTTAATGTGATCTTTCTGTAAGTTTGGTAACACCTCTAAATTGATGGGTTTTTAATCTATTGTGAGGTTTTTTCCATAAGATTATAAATTTGAATCTCCAAGGCTAGCCTTTTAGAGCCTGTTCAGCACTTTATAGGCACTATTTTAAGTAGTTTTTTTCCTGGCATAGAGATGTACCTGGCTTATGGTATCATAGACCAACCAACTAGGCTTTACCCCAGACCTTGGACATTGATTACTGAGAGGGAAGGAATACACCATTTAAAAAAAAAACAACACACCTTCCTTAATGTTTTTTTTTCTATAAAATGTAATTTATCAGAATAGCATATTTATGAACATAGTACTTAATAATGGTAAATATTTGTGTAAATATTTGAAGAAAGCTATTATTTAGAGTGACTGAATATATAAAGAGAGTGTATGAACTCCTAGGTAAAGTTAAATGCCTTCTCACAGTGCCCAGTGCTTATAAATCACTTTTTTTTAATTAATTTATCAGCAATCACTTCCATAAGCTTTTGAGTTTTAAATTTTTCTCCCCCTCCCTCCCCACTTCCCAAAATGGTGTTGCAATCTGATATAGGCTATATATATATACATTCCTATTAAGCATATTTTCGCATTAGTGATGTTGTAAGTAAGACTTAGAGCCAATAGGGGGAACCACAAGGAAGAGAAAACAAAACAAAACAGAAGGAAAAAATAACAAATAGTATGCTTCGATCTGCATTCAAATTCCATAGTTCTTTCTTTGGATATGGATAGCACTTTTCATCATGAGGCCTTTGAAGATGTCTTAGATCCTTGCATTGCTGAGAAGGGCTAAGTCTATCAATGTTAGTCATCACACAATATGCCTGTTACTGTGTACAATGTTCTCCTGGTTTTGCTCACTTCACTCAGCATCAGTCCATACAAGTCTTTCCAGGTTTTTCAGAAGTCCACTTGCTCATCATTTCTTATAGCATAATAGTATTCCATTATATTCATATATATTCATATACCACAACTTGTTCAACAATTCCTCAATTGATGGGCATTCCCTCAATTTCCAATTCTTTGCACCACAAAAAGAGCTGCTATAAATATTTTTGTCCATGTAGGTCCTTTTCCCATTTGTATAATCTTTCTGCGATATAGCCCTAAAAGTGCTATTGCTGGGTCAAAGGGTATGCACATTTTTATAGACTTTTAGGCATAGTTCCAAATTGCTCTCCAAAATGGTTGAATCATTTCACAACTCTACCAGAAATGCATTAGTGTTCCAATTTTCCCACATCTTCTCCAACATTTATCATTTTCTTGTTTTGTCATGTTGGCTAATCTGATAGGTATGATGTACCTCAGAGTTGTTTTGATTTACATTTCTCTAATCAATAGTGATTTAGAGCATTTTTTCATATGACTATAGATGATTTTAATTTCTTCATCTGAAAACTGCCTGTTCATATCCTTTGACCATTTATCAATTGGGGAATGACTTGTATTCTTGTAAATATGACTTAATTCTCTATATATTTTAGAAATGAGGTCCTTATCAGAGACACTGGTTGTAAAAATTCTTTCCCAATTTTCTACTTTCCTTCTAATCTTGGTTGCATTGGCTTTGTTTGTGCCAAAACTTATCAATTTAATGTAATAAAAATTATCCATTTTGCATTTCAAAATGTCTGTCTCCTGTTCAGTCATGAATTCTTCTGTTCTCCATAAATCTGATAAGTGAACTATTCCTTGCTCTTGCAATTTGCTTACAGTATCAGCCTTTATATCTAAATCATAAACTCATTTTGACTTTATTTTGGTATATAGTGTGAGACTTTGGTCTATGCCTAGTTTCTGCCATGCTCTTTTCCAGTTTTCCCAGCAATTTTTGTCAAATAGTGAGTTCTTAACCCAGAAGCTGGGGGTCTTTGGACCTATCAAATAGTAGATTACTATAGTCATTGACTACTGTTTCTTGCATACCTAACCCATTCCACTGATTCACCATTCTTTCTTAGCCAGTCCCAAGTACTTTGATGATTGCTACTTTATAATACAATTTAAGATCTGGAACAGCTAGGCCACCTTCCCCTGCATTTCTTTTCATTAGTTCCCTTGATATTCTGGACCTTTTGTTATTCCAAATGAATCTTGTTATTATTTTTTCTAGCTCCATAAAATAATTTTTGATTAGTAGTTTGATTGGTATGGCCTGAATAAGTAAATTAGTTTAGGTAGAATTGTCATTTTTATTATATGAGCTCGACCTACCCATGAGCAACTGATGTTTTTCCAATTATTTAGATCTGACTTTGTTTGAAAGTGTTTTGTAATTGTGTTCATATAATTCCTGGGTTTGTTTTGACAGGTAGACTTCTAAATATTTTTATAATGTCTACAATAACTTTAAATGGAATTTCTCTTTCTATCTCTTGCTGTTGGGCTTTGTTGGTAATATATAGAAGTGCTGATGATTTATGTGGGTTTATTTTATAGCCTGCAACTTTGCTAAAGTTGTGTATTGTTTCAAGTAGTTTTTTTACTTGACTCTCTAGGATTCTCTAAGTATATCATCATATCATCTGCAAAGAGCAATAGCTTTGTTTCTTCTTTGCCTATTCTAATACCTTCAATTTCTTTTTCTTCTCTTACTGCTAAAGCTAACATTTCCAGTATGATATTGAACAACAGTGGTGATAATGGACATCCTTGTTTCACCCCTGATCTTATTGATCATTGATATTCTAGCTTGTCCCCATTACATATGATGCTTGCTAAAGGTTTTAGGTTGATTCTACTTATTATGTTAAGGAAGACTCCATTTATTCCTTGCTCTCTAGTGTTTTTAGTAGGAATGGATGTTATATTTTGTCAAAAGCTTTTTCTGCATCTATTGAGATGATCATGTGGTTACTGTTAGTTTTGTTGTTGATATGATCAATTATGTTGATAGTTTTCCTAATATTGAACTGGCCCTGCATTCCTGGTATAAACCCTAACTGGTCATAGTGTATTATTCTTCTGACAATTTGCTGTAATCTATTTGCTAATATTTTATTTAAAATTTTTGCATCTAAATGTATTAGGGAAATTGGTTTATAATTTTCTTTCATTTTTTTGTCTCTTTCTGGTTTAGGTATCAGTACCATATTTGAATCATAGAAAGAATTTGATGAGATTCCTTCACCTATTTTCCCAAATAGTCTATATAGTATTGGAATGAATTGTTCTTTAAATATTTTATAGAATTCACTTGTAAATCCATCTGGCCCTGGAGATTTTTATCTAGGGAATTCATCAATGGCTTGTTCAATTTCTTTTTCTGAGATGGGATGATTTAAATATTTTATTTCCCCTTCTGTTAATCTGAGCAATTTGTATTTTTGTAAATATTCATCTATTTCACTAAGATTGTCAAATTTATTGGTATACAATTGGGCAAGATAGTTCCTAATTATTTTAATTTTCCCTTCCTTGGTGGTAGATTCACTATTTTCATTTTTTATACTGGTAATTTGGTTTTCTTCTTTCCTTTTTTAAATTAAATTAACCAAAGGTTTATCTATTTTATTGGTTTTTTCATAAAACCAGCTCTTACTTTTATTTATTAGTCCAATAGTTTTCTTAATTTCAATTTTCTTAATTTCTCCTTCAGTTTTCAATATTTCCAAATTGGTGTTTAGTTGAGGATTTTTAATTTGTTCTTTTCTAGATTTTTTTTAGTTGTATGCCCAATTCATTGATATCCTCTTTCTCTATTTTATTCATGTAAGCATTTAGAGATATAAAACTTCCCCTAAGAATGCTTTTGCTGTATCCCATAAGTTTTGGTATGTTGTCTCATTATTATCATTCTCTTGAATGATGTTATTGATTGTTTCTATGATTTGTTGTTTGACTTATTCATTTTTTAAGATTAGATTATTTAGTTTTCAGTTATTTTTTAGTCTATCTTTCCATGGCCCTTTATTGCATATAATTTTTATTATATCATGATCTGAAAAGGATGCATTTAATATTTCTGCCTTGTGCATTGGATT